CCGAGAATTATCATAGTAATGATCATAGCCTTCACTCTACTTCTTTTTATGAGCCCCTAGTCAACAAGTTTGACTTCTCGTGGACCCACCACAGTACGGGTTCTGAGATGGTCAATGGGCCGTGTAGCCCAGAAGCACAGCCGGCCCATAGAGCAAGGGTCTGTCTGTCTGTCTGTCTCCCCCCCTCTGGTTGGGTCGAGCAGGTTGACTGAAGGGTTGATGAATCGAATCGCCGTGGGTGTTTTTAAAATGCTTGTTGACCACGATGGGACCGGTATTTCGAATCTCTCCTCTCTCTCTCTCTCTCTCTCTCTCTCTCTCCTCGTCTCCGTCTCTCTCTTTCTCTCTCGACGGGCTTCGAATTGGCAAGTCGTCCGAAATCTTCCAAGGAACGTAACTGTCTTACTCTTGGACCCGTTCCCTTCCCCCGGTAGGTGAGAAAGTCCAATCTCTCATCTCTCTCTCTCTCTATCTCTCCCTTTGAGTGCTTCTTCTCCGACGCGGTTGGATTCAGAAAATCGTAGCTGTTAGAACTTCTCCGCTTGTTCTCTCGCTTTCTTCACCTTTGTCGGGCTTCTATTGTGCTTCGACCTGTGCATCTAGTCTTTGCTGCCGGAGACTGAGTGGAATTGCAGAGGGGGGGATTTTGGGAGGAGACAGTGGGGGAAGAAGGGAGGCAGACATGGTGAACTGGGAGCTGAAGGGCTGCTGTGAGCGCGACCAAGTCGTCTTCATCACGACCATCGGCGTCTTCACTGTCGTGATCCTCGCCGTAAGTTATCTCTTTCCTGGCTTCCTTCCCCATGCTCCGATGCTCGATAACAGGATCCTCTTCCAACTCGTCCTTATGCTCGAAAACCTTCATTTTTTTCCTACTTCGCGCTCACAAATTCTACAGCCGTTGGGTGATTTATTGTTGCGGTTAGACTTGGAAATGCCACTTAAATCTAGTCTATTGATGGAAATCTACGCGACTGAACCATCATGATACAACTTCGTCTCCTGATCTAATTTTCCATCGAATTATTAGTTCTTTCCTTCCATGATTATGTGTTCCCCCGTGTCATGCTCGTTTAATTGTGTTGTTTTTCTCGTCGCACTATTTTCCTCTTCAAATTTCTAGAATCTAGTTGTTCTTTACGTTGTTATTATTATTATTAATACTATCATTAATCTTTGTATCTTTTATCGTCTTCCCTTTTGCAGCTCTGGAGGACGTTTCTGCTGACACCCTTTAAGCTCATTACGGTATTTCTCCACGAGGCGAGCCATGCTATTGCATGCAAACTAACTTGTGGACGGGTAAGATACTTTGGATTAAATGTTGCAGCCCAAGTTACTCGTACTCACGTGGTGGTTCTCTTTCATGATTTTAGATGACATCTGTTGCTTTAACTCTGCTGGGATTTCAACTTTTATGGAACTGTATCAACTTTCTAATGTTGTCGTGCTACTGATCATTCTTTTACGATGGTTCAATTACCAATGCGGCATGTTTGATGCCTACTACATGCGTTGGGAATGAAGGTAGAGAGGGCTTTCTTGAAGCCATTGTTAACAATTACATAAGACATAGTTTCTTCTCTCACTCCAATATCTGTTTTTCATTATGATACTCCCTCCAAGATCTGGATAGGCCCTGGATGGGACTTTTTTTATATGGTAACCTCTTGGTGGCTGGGATATTATTTTTGGAAGATATTTAGAAAATATTCTTATCTAAATGGACCTACATGTTTGTATAGTCTGAATTTCGATTAATTTGAATTTAGTGAGCGTAACATCATACAGGAAACAGGTTTGCAAATTATTACAGATAGAGTTTTGTTCAAGGTGAATTTTGAACGTGATAGTTCAAACATTTCATTAATGCTTCTGCACACCGAGCTGATTCATTAAATAAATTTTTATTCCAATGTTTCATTCTAATGATGGAGCTACCAGCAATTGCCAAGTGAAATTTAACATAAGTATATGAGACGCCCTAGTTATTTGTGATTAAATCATTTGTTTTATGGATATGATGGTGAGTCAACTGAAAAATGAATTATTCCAGGGATCAGAAATTGTATATGTTTAGTGCTATCAGCCAACTACTGAAGAGGGATTTGATGGTGGACGGTATCATAGTTTAGACACGAGTAAACATCCCTGCTGATTGAATAAGTCATTTCAGATATCTAATCCTTTTGTTTTTGCTCGATAGCTTATCAATTGGCAGCTCCCATACCACCAATTATTGAAACGTACTGGCCTTTAATACTTTCCAATAATGTCTACAGTGGACATCTGAAATTCCAATGTTTGTAGGAGAGTTCCCATTAATCGACTTTGAGTGGACACTGCCACCATGCTTCTGGTGAATGACGACAATTACAAGGGCAACGAATAGTAATGATTTTCTTTTGGGCGAATGTTGAATTTCAATCATTATTTGCCCATTTGATCCGGTGGCTAGTACTGACGTATCAGTAACTCAGTAGGTAGGAATTCAGTTGGATCAGTGAAGAAAGATGGGTCCTTTTGTTGCAGAAAGTATTAGAGAAAACCAACACAGCAAGAACAATCTTGGGCCTGGAATAATCAGAAGATCTAACATAAAATATGGTAACTTTATTTCTCTATAAATTATACCAAATATCAAATCTATAGATAGTCTTTATGAATTTTTTATACTTCTTACGTTGTCTTTATTTCCTAAAATTTATTTCTCTACGTCGGTATGCATAAAATTTAATTAAGCATGTAATTATTGAATTTTCAACACTTTTTAGTAAAACCATTTGTGAAGTCTGTGAAAGGAATGCTTTTTTAGACAATCTTTATCTTGGCATGCTTATTGATTTATTAAATATGTACCTCTATTTCTACTGCAAGAAATCACATCTTTTCGCATCTTGTGCAAAAATTTTGAAGTCCAAAAATAAAAAGAAGATTAATTTTTCCTCATTGCCGTGGATTCCGTTCTTCACAATTTTATTCAGATACTAATTCCAGCATTCATCAATTAGATTTCCCTTCAAAATAATTTTGCATCCAGGAATTTTCCCACAGCATCACTTAATAACAATTGTCACTCATCAAGAGCATGAGATACTATGTCCTTTTATGGACGAGCCTGCGGTAACTGCTGAAGACCTGAAGTCGGGAAATCTACACATTCCAAGGCAAGCTTTTATTAGGACGCTGATACTATGATGACGCTCAAACTATGATGTGAGGCTTACATCTGATTTAATAAGAAAAGTTAGCTTGAAAGGAATATCGTAATTTGAATAAAAATCAGCTGATTTGGATCGGAATTGGATTCCTGCCAGAGTATAGAAATGAGAATGAGATGAAGCATAAAAAGGCTTTTGAAAAATCCCAATCTGATGAAGAGGACGAGGAAGGATCGAAAGTAAGAAGAAGATGGAGAAGGGGACGAAAAAGAAGAAGAAGACCAAAAAGGAGAAGAAGAAGATGAATAAGAAGATGACCTTGCCTTTCATGAGAAGATCCTTTCCAGAAAAAGGGCCTTTGCTCCTACAATTGGCCATTGGCTGGGGTTATCAATGATGAGGAAGAAGACAGAAAGGAAGAGAAAAAAAAGTGGTGTGAGCACTTTGCTCTGACAAGAAGATCCTTTGTAGAAAATAGAGAGTTTCCCCTTGATAATTATCTGTGTTATAATATTTTTTCAGTTAAAGGTGTCTATCAGTATTTTTCAAAATGATTTACATGTTTTTTTCTCTTATATCTGTGATTGAATTTCCTAATTTGGTAGAAAGATTTGATTCTGAAGATCTCTTGATGTTGTTAAAACTAAATAACTCGATTCAAGAAATGGAATGTGTCTGTTTAGCATTAAGATAGGAGACGTTACCATATTCAAACTAAAATAGTGATTAATCAAGGAAGACGTGAAGTCTGTGCCAAATTCCATGATAATCATGACTCAAAAATTTGGAACGAGAGATGTTGACAATGTGAAACAGGGCAGCATTCACAGCATTAGGATAGAAGGCGCAAACAACTTTAACAAAATCAATAATCGATTTGGCAGTCATAGGGTCAACATATGGGGGAGAAATGGGATTCTTAATAATACCTCACCTGATAAATGCATCATTCATGATACTGGGCGTGACCTGAAATTTGAGTGTGACGCTGGTTTACTTGAAAGCTTAAGACCAGTACATCTTTAAAAATATGTGCATATTAGTGGTTATCATTGAGAAGATTTGGCTTTGTATCTATCTCTTGCGTTGCCTATGTTATGCTATGTATTTTTTCAACTATACTTTTGTGAACTTCGTTCATTAAATTTTATTCTTATTCTCATATTGAGTAGTCAGCACCTTCCAACTGTTTCCTGCTAATTGTTTTTGTCAGCCTTCGAATTCATACCTTTGTCTGCCTATTCTCATTTCTTACGATCGGTGCATTGGGCTATCGACTGACTTGAAAGCCTTAGCTGAACCTCGTGACATTTGGCTTTTCAAATCCCAAACCTTTCATCAACCTGACGAGAAAAGGCTTTATGATGATAGTGGACCTTCCCACGGATTTATTAATATGGTTATTGATAATTGATAAAATATTCAAATGCCATTGATACTGATGAACCTTCCCACGGGATCTGTACTTTCATCCTTCCTAGATTCTGACTTAACGCAGTTGTCAATCATTAGCAATGATAGTTCTCCTACAGGAAGAAATAATTTCTTTCTTAATTTGAAAAAAAAAAATCTCATTTTTACTGCACCTCATCTTCTTTCAATTTGAGGACAAAAAACGTTTCTTGATTATTTTAACTGAAGCACACAAAAAAAGGCCAAATGTATTCGTTTCCCAAATGAGACCTGAATTTTGTTGCAAATCACCTCTCTTGGTGTCCATGTTACTCTCAAATATCTTCAAGTGCATTAATGCCCTTTATTTCCATTTCTGTTCCTCTATTTGCAAGTGGTAAATAGGTGATATACAGCCCGAGTTGACTTTACAGTTTATACTTTAGCTATCACGTGAATAATAGTATTATGCGAATTCAATTTCGCCAAAGCTAGAAACCCAAAGGTAACCGAAGCCAATACAAATCCCATTCCCTCACAACATAATGCTTTCCTTTAGAGTCCGATCTGTCTCTTACTGCTGACCGATTTACTTGCAAGTGATTCATCTCGCATCCATCTCTTGTTCGCTCAAGAACTAGAGTAACCGATAACATGGTTTTAGATAGTGTTTCTATGTCCAATTTTTTATGTCATTCTAAATGTCAATTATTATGTCACAACCCTGATGCACTCCAGTTCGTGGGTTGAATAGGACGGCCATTACAGGATACGCTGGTTTTAGTGGAGGATTTTTGTGGAAGATGGTCATGTATCATAAAACACAAACGAAATGCGGGTACCCAACTGCAAACAGGATTCCTGTATTCAATTTTCTCAAATATTGGAACTCTTTTTGATGAAAAAAAAATAAATCCACATTTGAATGCTATAAATTTTTAGGATACAGAAGCTTGTCTGTTTTTTGCGCCTGACACTAATTATGTACCTTTCACTTTGGACCATGCAGACCATCATTTGCAATAAATGCTGATCTATGCGAAATTCGCAATGCATCACTGTGCCTAGTTTCTTGTAGTAATGCAGAGCATTCCTGGTAGGATTAAATGCACTGAATTATTGTCGATTTTTGTATTAATAATTAGTTTAGCACATCGTTGAATGATGTGAGCAACTGGCCTCCACTGGTTAATACTTCATACATATGACCACTTTGGTTCTCTTTTTGACGTAAAGATTGTTCACAACCGCTCTTTTTTGTTGAAAAGGAATATAATTATTTCAGTGGCTGAATAAATATGACTCTGTCCATTGTAGGCATCTGTCAAGTACCAACCTCTATAGATCAATTTTTCTTACTCAAGGGCCATTTGTTGCATAATCAAAATACTACCCTGTTGCTGTGACTTGGATACTCTTTTTTGCTGCTTCAACATTTAACCCAGCCTTAAGTTCTCTCTTTATTTCCTATGTTGACGATCACCAGTCATCGCCTGCCCTTCTGATATGAGCACATGCTCGTAAACTTCCAATATGATAAGGTCTTTCCTTTAGTTTCCACCATCTACTTATCATTTGTTGGATAGTCCATTTTCCAAGCTTCTCGTAGAGTCCTGGAATTTTTATATAAGATCAGCTTTCAACACCGTTCAACGTATGTATTGTACACTGCCTTGCTGGAATTGTGTTACTATTGAAAAGTTTGCAGAATGGATCAAAAACCTTCATTCAGTGGAAAATAATGAACTAGGATTTTGGTAAAGACTTCATTTGCCTTAAATATGGCAGCTATCTGTAAGAGTATTGTTTTAAAATATGGCTTAAAGTATGGCTTAAACTTCATATGTTCAGAATAATAGAATATAGACAATCAGAACGTATTGTAAGAGTATACCTATATTTGGGAGCTATCTGTTTCTGTGAAATCAGCTGTGCAGCACCCACCTGGAAGAGTTATAATGCAAAAGTGGTTTTTTTTTTCAAAAATAAAAAAGTCTGTTTCAACAAATTCAAATGAGAATTTGGAGTTCTGCCGTACTTTCATTTTAGCTTGATTAATAGACGAATAATGAAAGTGGTAAAAAGGTACATTTGGAATATGAGACTTAAACCAGAACCTTAAGTTTTCTGCATATTTTCAAGCCTTTATGCTAGGCCTAATTATTTCCATTAACAGTTTCTATGGTCTTCCGTTTCTGCATTCTTCATTCAGGCTCTGACACTGCAGCAGTCGGACATAATTTTATTATCTTCAGTGGGATTTTCAGATTTATGGTTATAGGTAAAGAGACAATGGTTGATGATCCCAGTGCACGCCATAAAATAAAATCAATGGCATTGGAAAAAATTTCGGCCAAATCCTTATTTTTTTTTAATTTATTTATTAAGTATATATACACTCACACGTACATATGCGTGATAAGATCTGTAGATCAAAGTATGATCTGAGAAGAAACAGAAGTGGCCCGATGTTGTAATTTTTCAGAACGATTACTGTGTCTTGATTCAAGAAGATCTGATTTAAAGAATTGATAATGAGTCAAAAGGTAACTAGATGACCAAAAAATCCATGCTCAAACTGGGACTTGGAATCCAATAAGATGAAGGTTAGACAGTCGACAAAGAGTACAAATTTCTATTTGACAAATGCGAAATCTATGTTCTATCTGAGTTTTGGCTTTCTTAGAGATTTCTTTTTGACCGATAAACTTCAATTGTAGTTATGAACGTGTCTGTTATCGGTGAAATATCTCCTTATTTCCATTTGTGAGACTCCAGGATAATGCTTCCCTTTTCTGTTCAAAGAACAATGATAACATTACTGGAACCCGAGTATAACATATGAACATTAGTTCCACATGCAGAGGGCTATGAGCAAATATCGTTTTATTTTCCTTCAATGTTTTATTCCCTAATGTGCATTTCACTTATCTTTATAATTGATTTTCGGGCTTCATTATGTGCCCTTTCATGTACGTTATATTGATCTGGAAATAGTGACGATTGTTACTTGTATTGTTTGCCTTTTTTTAATTTTTTATCTGGAAGTAGATGAGACAACATAGACATTAAATATCAGATGAGAGAATCGTTAGTGTAAGATTAGTGAGAGCTTTCAAGAAGAATCTCTGAAATATAGTTTCGTTCTTTTCGCCATCATGTTAAAAAAAGATCAGCTCAGAACTAAAAGCCCCTCAGGATCAATGGATAAAGTTCTCCCTCCCTCATTAAAGATCTCAAAGCTGGCTCTCTCTACCTAGAACACAGATAAATGCTGCACACTCTTCTGAAGAACTCTTCTGAATATATGGAAATTGTCTAACACTTGTGTTGTGTAATCATATTTTCCTTTCTGAATTGATTTCTGGCACGCAGACAATTGATTGAACCACTGTTCCTATTTAAAGTCATAAGTACCCTATATGCTCTTCCAATTGTTGTGACGATCCAGCATAAAATTTGAAAATTTCCAGGTTGATGGCATACGTGTTGATGCCGATGAAGGTGGTGTCACAGAGACACGAGGTGGTATCTACTGGGTGATTTTACCTGCTGGATGTAAGCCATTCTTGTTTTTCTCTTTTTTTTTTTTTTTGGTTAAGCGATTCTTGTTGACGTCAGAGGATATCGCCCTCCAAGATTTGCCCCTGGGTAATATTAGCTTGTATTTTTATTCGTATTAGTCAATCATTCGCTCATGAAAGTAAGACTAATCTCTGTCTGTAGATCTGGGGTCATCGTTCTGGGGGATGGTTCTCATACTCGCTTCCACCAATCTTCTCACTGCTAGAATAGCTGCTGGATGTTTTGCCGCTGCACTGTTCATAGTCCTCTTTGTTGCGAAGAATGTAAGCGTTTCTACTTTCGGATTTATTAGATTACAAGCGAGCTCGTATCCTCAGAGAGCTTGCAACAAGAAAAGAAAAGAAGCAAAAAAAGGCCATTAGACACTCCTAATTCGTTATCGTGCTTGTGCCCCTGATTTGTGTTCTATCTTATTATGTAATCGTCTTTTGCAGTGGTTGCTTCGAGGGCTTTCCATCGGTGAGTTGTGGAGAGCAGCCCCGCTTTTGCCTTTTTCCTTCTCTAAACTCTCTAGCACGTTGACGACGCTTTCTTTACTCGACAATCTCCAGGCTTCATCGTTTTTCTAGCCGTTGTTTGGATTCTACAGGAATATACAAAGCTGCGCATTCTTCGGTACGTCATCCTGTTCATCGGTGAGATTTTATTTGATTGGATTCCTCCCATTCATTAATTCGATATATTTCGTGGATATTTTGTCATATAAACCGAGGAAGATGACGTTCCTATATATATGCATTCATTCTGCAGGAGTGATGAACAGCTTGTTCTCAGTTTATGGTACGATTCCAAATTTGATATGATTTGAGGGAAAACATTTCTCTTCATCCAGTCATTCATAAATATAATAATAATAATAATAATAATAATAATATCTGATAATTCCCTCCAAATTCATGCTTTTCATCTGTGCAGATATCTACGACGACTTGATCTCTCGAAGGGTGAATACGAGCGATGCTGAGAAGTTTGCCGAAGTCTGCCCTTGCCCCTGCAACGGTGTTGCCTGGGGTGTGATCTGGTCAGTTCACTGCCGCCACAGCATTAGCCTCATATCATATCATTACTTATTTTTCGTTGAACATAATTGGATTAAAAATTTCATTTTCTATTTTCTGGGTGGGTCCCATCCTTTGTTCTTTCCCCTGCTGGCAGAGTCAGAAAGAAGGTGTCATATTAGAGCATTATAGCTGTGTAGCGTTGACTGGGACAATAGAACATCTATGTATTAAATAAATAAATAAATAAATAAATAAATAAATATACAGACCAGCCTACTCCACCCGTTACTACCAACTTTTTTTTCTTTTTGAAACCCTTCAAATTTATTTATTTATTTATTTATTTTGTTGTTGTTGAAAATTCACCATCATACTTAGGTTGCTGTTTATACTGGGCTTCAGAGAGTTCATGGAAATGGAATGTGTTTGCAGGGGCTTGATATCGTTCTCATTCTTATGCGGATCCATGTACCTTGGCCTCGTGATTCTGTCCTGAGCCCCCCTAGTAGCCTAGTACTAGTAATCAATCCATGAGTTGTTCCCTTCAGCACCCTTGGCAGCGCGATTAGAACCAGGGACATTGCTCACCTCCTCCTCGACCTGGGGGGAAATTATAGATGCTATTTATCTGTGTGTGGGGGATGGCAGTCGCAGGGTGGTGCTCATCGTGTTTGTTGCGCTGCCAAGTGATTCAAGAACATGTGAATAACATGATTCATGTATTTTTCCCCCCACGCAATCATTCTTTCTTTATATATCGGAGGATGCTGGTATTATTCTTGGGATTTTCTCTCTCTTTTTTGCTATTACTCTTTATTTTTATTCTTTGTTTAAAAATATATCGCGGGTGTTCTTCTCAAGGATGCTGATGCCATTTTATGAAAGAGTTTCCCATGAAATAAATAAATAAATAAATAAATTAAAAAAAACCCTACATTTTTACTTGAGAACTGTTCAAGACAAAAATATCATTTTTTTTCTCTCGTTGAGTTATATATAAAAATTTTATTTAAATTCAAGAAACGCTAGCTGCCATTCTGAGGAAGCAGCTCTACGGGCGTCTGAAATAAATTATAATAATATCAACTTTCCAAATAAGAGAAAATTGTAGCCCCCTTTCCATTTTTTTCTTTTTAATTGGGACTTTTTTGAGAAGATTAAATGAAGAATAAAGTCAGTAAGTATACTCGCTCGAATTCAACTGTCATTAATCAAATATCAGCTATGGTTGTTGCATGCATGTCTGACCACAGAATAATCATAAGATCCACCCCCTCCCACTAATTAGGAAACACTTACTTTCAGACCCATCAAACATTTTATTCACTACATTCCTCCCAGTAAGTAAAACTAAAATAAAATGCTAAATCTGTTCCTAATAACCAATTTAGCCGTCAACATGAACGACCCATCTCGCCAGCATCAGGATTTAGGCCCCAAAAGAATGCCATAATTAGTAAGCGGCTTGTTCCTCAGCGCTCAAACCTAGATTACTAGTACTACACTGGGTCGCTCCTCAACGCCCAGGATTAAAAGTTCATATGTCAAGGTCATCGTCGGGGTCCTCATCCGAGTCTGGCAACTCCTCCTCGTCGGAGTCTCGGACGTAGTGAATCTCGCCCTTCCCGCCGCCACCGCTGCCGACTGCCCTGCCCAACTCAGCTGCCTCACCGCCCCCCGTAGGCCCCAACTCTTCAGTGGATCGGCGGCCGTCGTATATCCTCACAGCCTTGCCATTCCCTGAAAATAAGAAAGAAACATCCGATATGGCTGAGAAAAAACTTCGAGAAGAAGAACAACCATAATAATAATAATAATAATAATAAACTGATAATAATAGGAATGATGATGATGATGATGATAATAGTATAGCATCAGAGATGAGGTGAGATGAGAAGACCCATGTTCAAGAACGGCAGATCGAAGTGGAAAAATGGGGTATTTCTCTTTTTCACCATCTTTAGAGGGAAAAGATTAATCCAGAAACGAAGGTGGAAAAGGTGTACATTGAAGAAATATAATCCAGCCTTCTGATATGTGAAGTGCATCAAATTTGATCGATTTCCTAGGATGCCTGATATGATCTTAATGACCAAATTGATGGATTGAGAGGCTGCTTGGGGAAGCTCAGAGGAGAATTATCACAATGAAGCTTCCTCATCTAGAAGACCCAAACCTGTTGATCATCTAGACGCTATTATTTAATCTAGAGAAAAAAAGTGGGGCCGAAAGAGCTAATAGCTATAGAAATTGAAACCCGGGAGGATCAACAACTTTTGCCACTCGTGGCCCTTTTCTTTTTTTTTTAAAAAAGATGGCAGAAATATGTGACGAAGAGCTACCGTTGACCTCTGTTCTTGCCATGAACCATGGAGTGGTGCAACCATCCCAAGATGATTAATTCTTAAAGAATAATAATTATTTCAATTTCGGTTCAGTAATAATCAGAACTAACTGTGCACCCACACACCATATCACCGAAACTCTTTTGAAATGCTTTGCTCTACAGAAATACTTGGTAAAAATTAAGTAAGCGACCATTAAGGTGCATCCATAAAGAGATCATGGTAAATAATTTTGAAAAATAAGTAAAAGTTTTGGAGATCACGATGAACAAAAGGTAGGTGGAGGACCAGACCTTGGTGTTCGAATGGGAGCACCACTTTTTCCCTGTCCATCCGCTCCTTCTCTGATAACTGGAGATTAAACTGCAACTGCAACTGCAAATGCAAATGGAAATGGAGATAAACCCCGTGATTATATGACCAAATGCAGAGAAACGAGGTGCAAAACTGGGATACATGCCCACCTAGATTGAACAGACCTTTGGCAGCAGTGTCTGCTCGGCGATCTTACTTTCAGACAAAGGAGTCGAGAAAAACTTCACCCCAGCAGTCTCCACGAAGAATTCTTCGCACTGGGTTCCGAGGCCATGAATCAATGCCGAGGTAAAAAGAAAGTTTTTAGCAATGACTGGTGGCGATGACGACGACGATGATGATGATGAAGGGACTTACGAGGACCTTCACCCTTCCATTGCGCCGCTTCATCCGCAGATGGAACCTTCCCCCTCGGAAATTCTGTTCGAGATTTGAGCCTCCTCTTTCTGTCCCCGGGTTTTCAATTTCGGGCTCCAAGAGGACAACCATGGTGGAAATGTAATCGAAAGCGGCGCATATCCTGGACTCGTGAAGGTCTGACTGTAGTAGCCAGAGGACAGTTGAGACCTGACCTGGAGGAAGAATCACGCGAAGATTGATCGGCTACTCGGATTGAATGGATGAAGGTGATGGGAGAGGATCTCTCAAACCCAATTGGGGGGCGACTCCTTTGATTCCGAGATAATGGGCGCGTGAATTCATACCATGGCCCCGGAGATTACTGATGAAGCTCGCAACTGATTGGAGCGAAGCGCGTCTGAGCAGCGCGCTGACCTGAGAAGGGTACAACAGGTGAAGCTCACACTTGGGAGGAGGATGAAGCTGCTAGCTCTGTTGAAGCAAATCATAATTGGCCCCAGTTCTACGTCGGGTCTTAGCACTCGAGGTTAACGACCCTGAACCAGGAACCCTAGACAGAAATGGGGGGAAGTACCGAGTCAACGGCGACGGCGAAGCGGCGCTTTCCTTCTCCCACCATTCCTGCACGCAGAGAAAAACCTAGGGATTCAGTATGTCCAAAGAGAACAAAACTCACGTGAAAGTTTTCCGTAGTACAAAAGAAGAAGCACACAGGGCCGAAAATGGCGATTCCCATCGACGCCGACCCAGGACAGACCAGGCCTTAGAGAAGCCGTCGGCTCTTCCGTACCTCTTCCAAGGTCGAGGACTAGAGAAAGCAATCGGTCAACGTCCTTCACATCCGTGAAGAGGGTTTGCAGTTCTTCCACAGAGGCGTCGCCGCCCAGACGAAGGGAGGAAGGGAGGCGGGCTTTCCAGCCGAGAGGATCAGAGTAACAGTCCAAAACCCTAAACCTGCACGTTCGTTTCCCCTTAATTCGGCTAGCTCACTCAAGGCCCAACAGAAGCCGAAGGGAAAGCAGGTCGGAGGAAGCAGACGAACCAGTTAACGCCGGACCCAACGCAATTAAGCCCCCCGCTCTTCAGAAGATCGAGGTAGAGCGACGGGCTCCGATCGAGCGCGACGAGCACGAGGCCACTGCAGAAGGTTCCCAGCTAATCAACAGGAGATCACGAAGGAGAACACAGAGAAGAACTGATAGTACAGAGGAAGATGAAAAAGAGGCGAGGCAGGGGAGGAGGGCGAGGAGAGGGGGAGGATGGTCAGCGGACCCACCGGGCGGAGGACCTGCCGGCGGCGATGTTGGCGGCGAGGCCACGGAAGAAGTGGCCGAATACTTGGGCGCCGAGGGGGCAGGAAAGTGAATCCCTGAGGGAGAGGGCGACTGCGTGCTCCCCCTCCAGGGAGCCATCCCTGAGCGCCCTCCCCACGCTGGCCTCCGCCATCCCAGAGAGCAGAGCAGAGGAGAGGAGAGGAGAGAGGAAATCCCTCGACGGCAGAGGCGCGAAGCTCGACACAACTCAGGCCGACCCATTAAGGGTCCAGTGAAGGCCCTCCTTCGTCCCTGCGTCCCTCAGTGCTCAAATATTTCATGAAAGGTCTGCCAAAATCCTAAGCCCTGGAAATTCTCTTTGGCACCGGAGGAAGGATGGGTCAAGTCATGGCGTCATAGTGATGGAATGGAGATTATACGGAGAGTATGATCACAAGGGGTTCATCATCGGAAAATACATCAGTCCGACTATCGTGTTGCAATATTTTGGGATAGTTAGATTCGTTAAATGGGATACTGAAACATGATATATTTTGAGTTGTTAAAAATATTTTATTTATATACTTAGAGGCATTTTTATTTGACTAATGACATAATAATTTATTTTTAGACATTGAAATAACACCTCAATATATATTCAACATAAACTTGATTTAGGAAAACGAATAACCAAATATACACATCAAAAACCTAATATAGAGTTGAGGCTGCATTAATGGGATTACTTGGATATCGACTTTACACATCCACTTTGAGCGTTGAATGAGAGTTATTTGATCTTAAATTATTTTATCCATGGGAGCTATGCATAATCATTCTTGAAAGATTCATGTGTGAAAATTTTGTGCTGAATACCTCTTGTAAAATGGATTAAGAATAAGTACGTTTTTAATACCTTATTATTACTACTTTAAGAAATATAGCTACTAAGTTTTTATGATGTTAACTCCTCTATGTGTTTAGTGTAGAGCCTTAATTCAAATGGTAAAAATGATTTCAGTTATATGTCAATAAAAAAGGTAAAATAAGATTTTTATGCCCATCAAAGAGAGTCGACTATTAACGAATGTTGTAGGAGTCAATGAGGCGAATATATGTATTAGAGCTCCAATTTATTTATCTCGTGTGCTTAACCTTGTTTTATTATTTTTATATAACTTTCTTTGTTGAATGGTCATTTAATTCAGCTTGTAATATTAAGCTTACAAGAGTATATAATCCAATTGTCATAGAACTACTTGAAGCATTTATTTTATCAATCTTGGTTATGATGTTGATAGTATCAAAAGTTTAGATTGTTAAGGTCAATTATGGAATTCATTTTGGGAATTCATTAATCAAAATTTTAAAAAATAAAATAGAGGCTGAAAATCATAATCACATTATTCAAAATGCAAACCCACCCTATAAGTTTAAGTGGTTTAAATGGCCATTACACTTGAATTTTTGAATTTGATTTTAATGTAAGTGCTTTTGAATTTACTTACAATAATCAATATGATTAGACTCAATAACTATGGGAGAGCTAGATTTGAAAATTGTGTGTTAGATTGAAGAAGTTTAATAGAATATAAGGGTTTGGATAGCTTTTAAGATAGTTGATGTAGGATTTGACATAAGCGTGAAAATACTATGTTTAAATCTTTGTGTTCTACACTATTTAATGGCTGGTACATTAATTTATTTGTATTATAATATATCTAGATAATGTGAATTACAAAAGTCAAACTAGTTTGGATTAGCTATTTTGCTTATATCTCTAATGGGCTTGTTATAATCCATTAAATAATTATTTTAAGAACAAGTATGCATTAAATGTTAGACGGGTTGAACTAAGAATATAGACCAGACTGTCATATGTTATTATGTGAAATTTGGATTTTTATGATGTTTGACTTGATAGACAAAGTATTTTATTTTCTTATAATGCATTTGTTTCATTATCATTTTGAGGAGATATCTGCATCCAATTTCCTCTTCATCTTTGTGTTTTGGTTATATTGCATTCTCTCTTTTTCTCACTAATTAGTGTATCTAGAGGTCCGATTTCTTCATTTTGATCTTCATAAGCGTTTGGCCTATTTTTTCTACATTTCCCGCCATTTTATTCATCTTGGGTAATTGAAATGGCACTACAATTTGAGGTGGATATAGCTTGGGTCCAAACTATGTCACAAATGATTTCCTAACTTTGAAACGTCAAAAAAGATAGGATATTTCTTTTATCATTATATATTTTCGATGACATCTTCTTGTGATAAGATTTTTTTTGGTTAGATTGAAGCTGGACACGAGTATTAGCATGTCAGTTATTACAACAGTAAAATAACGATTAGTATATCTTTAATCCAAATTCGAACGGAAATTCAGGTGTTCAAGTTAAGTCGATATTTCTTCTTATGGATCATGATTTGACAGCTGGTCCGCTTGATTACAACCGTCCGGAGAGACTATGAGAAAGGAGAGAATGGAGGACCCGAATTCGTGGGTCACAGTGACTCCTTGCATGAGATCAGTCACTTCACGGGTCCACTTGAAGGGGAAGGTTGACTGATGTGATTGCTAGGGGGGAATTCCAAGTAACGCTATGTCACCCGCCCTTCGCCCCAATCATCAATAGGCGGCTGGTTCAATGTGAGTGAGCAACTAGCTAACGTCATTCACCATTTTTAATATTGATGGAGTAAATTTACCATGTGAATTAAATAATGATTATTCACCCATATCAAATATCAAAGCACTCAAAATCTTGTGTCAAACTATCCAGAAATTATCCTCCATTGTCATAGTTTAGCAAATTGGCCGAAACCATTCACCAATTTTGAGCTATTTTAAAGAGTCATGCTATATATTTATAAATTATCCGAAAAAAATTACTTGTTTAACGCTGCATTTAAAATCTGCTTCATAGATCCCCGTCTAAGAATTGTTTTAAATGGTTATACAACGCAAAGAAATAATCAATCATTTTTAATCTTTGTTCAAATTTACTGAACAATTGCCAAAATTATTTATCCAATTCCTGGATGGCATACTTCTTATTCGCCTCTCAGCTGTATAACATGAGGAAGAGATCCGACCGAAGGAAATCGTTTGGGTACGCTCCACGCATCAAATCCACATCCAAATGAACAGTTGATTGATTGGCCTGTCAAATCAAGTGGACACAACAGATGACTACAAGACAAAACAAATCGCAGCGAGAAGATATCTCCGCCGTGCCTAGCGAGCACCTCGTTAATGGTCTCCGGAATAGAGCAAGCTAATCGGGTGAACAGCTGGTGACCCTTGCACTAGTTGCTTCACTTCGTTTGACACACGTAATAGTTATCTCTCTCTCTCTCTCTCTCTGTCGTTACATCATAGGTTTGGGGTTCCCTAAACCCTAATCTTTATCAGATTAACAGTTAGGTGACTCTTATTAAGTCTGATGAGCCCCGGGCTAGGTTTCATCCTAAATGTGATTTTGGAAAAGGCTCTTTTACTCTCACTTTAGTTAGGCCAGTCAAATTACTTATCTGGGCAGGTTCAGACTCTACAGATATCCAAGCTTTGAAAGTGTACCAACAGACGACCGTCGGCTTCTCATCTCGTGGCACTACTCCCAGGTTTACTTCCCAACATCTTCCCCTTTCACAGTCTACATCTCCGCAGTCGCAGCCTACCCCCTCCCCTCCAAAAGTCACCCCCCTTCTCGGGACAGTACCCTTCTCTAATGCCGCCGCCCACGTCTCATTCAGTTACTTTCTTCGCCAGTCACAGGCCACAATTTCCCAAATTTTATGTAAACCAGTAATTAATTTCGTTTTCCTAAGTTTTCTCTGTACGAAATATTATGAAGATCGAAGTTGGCCCGTGTATATGAATACATATCTCATGAAGCACACTGATTGGAAGTTGTTGGGACCTTTGGAGGCTATGGCTTATGTAGTATAAATAATAATCGGGTGACAGGGACCTCCATTTGGCGAGAAGGACTTTTATCTAGTCCCCATCAAGGTGAGAGAAGTTTTTCTCTCTCTACTTTCCGTTGGAGGAAGGGGGTTCCGTCTGGTCCAAGGAATCAAGCATAGTTCAAGGTAGGTCGATGCTTCGTAACTTCAAACAGCCGTCTCTGCCGTCCTTCATGGTCATCCTTTTCCGATTGCCAATAGGTTCTGACCAGTCCACCCGCTTTACGTCGAGAGGACGGAGTCGTTCACTCCGGAACATTAATGTTAACGTAATCGAGGGCGCTTTTTTGACTCCGGTTCAAAGTGTTGCACGTCGTGTAGACTCGTGTACATCGTGTTGTATGTACATTGATGTTGTCGTACGAATGCTCATGTGCCCAACGTGAAGCCGGTCGATTCTTCGACGAAGGATAACGAAGGCGGCATCAATCAGTTCTTTTCGCAAAAGGAGCTGTGGAATATGACGGAAAGAAGGGTATGAAGCCACACGCCTTCAAGTCTTTAGTGCATTCCTTCATGTGAGGTGACTATTAATACTCCATGGCTGGCATCTTGACTCAAAGTTGGTCATCACTTATGCCTTCTTCCCCACCTCTCCCTCCTTCTCTCTCTCTCTCTCTCTCTCTCTCGCTCTCCCTCGCTGCCCCCTTCTTTCTCTCTCTTTCTTGCCCTCGTCGAGCATGTCAACGAATCGGGAGATCCAGGTCTTTGAATAATAAATGAATTCACAATGAAGAATAACATGCCCATATGTTTATTCGTAAGTAATTATTTCGATGGTTAAGAAATCGAAATGTAACCAATGCATAATGCTCATTCCCACACAGACTCGCTAGAAGCCTACAGGTTTAATGAAAATTTACAATGAAGAACAGTATTCTCACATATTTAGTCGTGGTTGTGAACCTATACTGAATTTTAATTTCATGCTATTACAATTCTTACAACTGGCTTATTATAACCCTTCCATGTACAACTCAGGTGCGGAGAGCGTAGATACATCATCCCCTTCCATGCGTCAAACCTTACACAGTGGAGACATCAACTCTCTCTTATCCTCTGTTTCTCTCTCTCTCTCTCTCTCTCTCTCTCTCTCTCTTCACCTCTCAACGCGCAAATATCATAAGACTGATGACATGAGAATGGAACCATCAGATGAAAAGGACACTGAAAGGACGCTTGTTTCATTCAAGTTGGAAGTCATGTCCACAGTTTTACACATCCTTTCTCGCATAAAATCGTAGACTAATGCTACTCCTGTTATATGTGACGCCTGGAGAAGATGCGGGAAGAGTGGTGAAAGGTCTAGATTCCCCACTTCTGTAACTTCCGAACCTCCCATAACTCGTCTATGCTCCAATAGCCGTCTCCAACCGCGTTGTCCGCGCCGCCGTATGGGGCGGCACTTCCCAGTTCTGGGGCTGGGTTTACCGCGGCGGCGCTACCGAGTCCGGAGGTGTTACTCGGAGTTGGCAGAAACCCCTGCGTCCCGTCAGCCGCCATGGTTTCTGGCGAGAAGTAGAGGTCGCACCAGGGATTGACGTCACAAAACATTGCCTGAGGGGCCGACGAAGGAGCTTCCTGATGGTGGTAAGGATTAAGGTTCTTCGCCAAATCGTTGATGGAGGGAGGGGAAGGCTCGCTCTTCCCTGCGAGACGCGGTGACCAGAAGCAGCGGAGGGCGTTCCTGAAGACGGGGCTGTTGGCGTCGACGTTAAGTTGCCTCGCTTGCTTCTGGACCCTCGTCCTCCAATAGTTCTTGATCTCGTTGTCTGTTCTTCCTGGCAGCTGCTGAGCTATTCTCGACCACCTGTCCACAGACCTCAGATTAGGACACATACGTGATAGGCATCCATTCGAACTACTCTCTCTCTCCCTCTTAGAAAAATGAAGGAAAGGCGAAAAATCCATTTGATGATGTTCCGCATAGGCTCGAATGAATTATTTAGATTAAAAACCCGCGAGAAGAATGTCGACCAACGAAATTTTTAGCCAGTTGCACTCTTTTATCTGAGAATCAAGGAAAGGAGGAAAACTCCGGGAAATGATGAACAAAACCGGAAGAATTCCAACGCGATAGGGTTCAGATCTCTGTTCCAGCTAGGAAGACTCCAGAAAAATGGTAATTAATAAAGGAAGTAATCAAACTTGGTTAAGTTACGGTAGGACTCGTGGAATGTGACTTAATATTAGTTAGATATTAGTAGAATAGGGCACAATGAATTATTACGGATCCACATCAAGTAAGACAAAAGTTTGTACCTGTTCCCCCATTTAGAGTGAAGCTCGAGGATCAGGATCTGTTCTTCTGGAGTCAGATTTCCCCTCTTCACGTCGGGCTTGAGATAGTTCAGCCATCTGAGCCTGCAGCTCTTACCCGTTCTCTTCAAGCCTGAACATAGTCCATGGACGAAGATTGTGAAGAATGATGTCATGGAAGAATAGAACATTAAGGGTTGCGAGTATGACAACCTGAGGACCTGGCAAGGTGATTCCAACGGCCTTCCCCGTGGCAGGTAATGTAGTGGACTAGGAGGGAGTCCTCCTCCAGAGTCCAAGGGCCTCTCCTCAGATCCACGTCCTCTTCAAACTTAAACGCAGGCTTGTTGGACATCACTGCTCCCCAGTCTCCTGCAGGATCTTCCTCCCCACCGAACGACAGAACAAAAGCTTTTTTCTCAGGAGCTGTGGTATCAAAGGGCACAGTTTTATAGACAAACCCTACAGGCCAGGAAGACTCCGTAACGAGATGAAATTGGACTCGTTGGAACAATGATATGTAGAGAGAGAGAGAGATAGAGGGAGAGAGAGAGAGAGAGAGAGAGAGAGAGAGAGAGAGAGAGAGAGAGAGAGAGAGAGAGAGAGAGAGAGAGAGAGAGAGAGAGAGAGAATTTGGGAAGAGATTATTCTGGAACCGCACCGCATGGGGAATGGGTCATTCAAGCACTCGCGGACTTTTTGTGTTCTTTCTCCCTATGAGGCGTGCTTGACTGAACAAAATATTTCATATTAAAACTCCGTTGTGATTGAGCAACGTGTGGGTTTCGTCTCTCTCTCTCTCTCTCTCCCTCTCTCGCTCAAACATAGGAACATGTAGATCAGGTCTGCCTAATTGGAAGAATCACAGCTGCTGGAATTTTGAAAACAACGCATCTCGCTGTCTATAGAGCCCACGTTTCAAACGGGATGTCTTACACTTTCTACTCCTCGCCCAACAACCCCGCTTCCATCCATCACGCAGCCTTACACAAGGCGTTCCAACTGAGGGAGCACCTCTATCATACAGTCTCTCTCCTCCGCCACATCTCTCTTACAGTATTATACTCTCTGGTCGTTGTGTTGATTTCGGCAACAACTCAGAATAATCCATGCTGAATGACATGTGTTAAGGTTTCGTTAAAATTATAATTTACTTTGGTTTTGACTTAGTCAACATGAGTCTTTCACATTGTATTGTATCTACCTTACATCTTGGACTGCGCCTGGTTTTTCTCCACGTAGTATGAGCACTTTAACGTTTTAACCTATGCTAGAATAATGTTATACCGAACTATATATTTATGTCATTTAAATACATCGGCCTAATATCACAGAAGAAGCCCTAAACATAATAGGACGCATATTATTGACAAAAGTTAGACCACCTTATTCTCCTATAATAACAGTATAATACTGATAGTGACAGGCACAGACCTATTTCCCTCCACCATACCCTATGGAGAATGGAGAGAGAGCCTTGAGAAGCACCGACCTTGATGCATTGTCCCCTCGTCTTGGTATACGACTGATTGTCCCATCCCGGGCCTTCCTGTAGAACTGTACGTCTACAGTCGTTCGGAAAAGTCACACTCGGACAAGATAGATATTGGGCTTAACTCAGCCACAGTACAAAGTAACCTATCCACTTCATAAGAAGAAGCTGTTTTGGAAGGTGTTACGAAATTAATATGGAATAATAGGGCCAAGCGACAAGGCTTGATTCTTGCCAATGAAAGCATTATAACCGTTGGGTAGTGCTCATGTGGTTATCATCTAGCAGGACTGAGGTGCGTGCAGTGGGGGCCTGATGGCGTTAGGTGCACTTCACCTATTGAAACCATGATCGTGACCCTTCATAATTACCAATTTTCATTCATATGATTCCCAACTGAAGTGATGTTCCCGAGAAAGAGTAATGGATTCCAGGAAGATCAAATTTTCTCAAAATAGAAATAAATAATTAGAAATAGTCCATTTACTGATTTCTTAGACATACATCAATTATAAATAATCTTTATCAACCATACTATTAGTGGGTATGACGCCAGCGCCACGTGGTTGGGACTAGGATCGGATCAAAGCTGGGTTTAGCGCCTGGTCTATAAATAGGCGCTGGCGTATAGCCTAAGTTCACAAAGTGCGCTGGTCAATTCTAATCAGCGACTCCTATGACTATTATCATTCCCACAGACGCGTACTTCAGTAGTTTGGGGATATCTCCACCGTCCGCAGTTGATGGCTGGATAAATTAATGTTTAGATTTTTGCGAATATTTTTTAACAGGAATTGAAGAATATGAAAAACTTATTACCCGAAATCCCATTTTTTTGGAACGAGTTGAGGGAGTGGGGATTATTAGGGGAGAGGAAGCAATAAATCGGGGATTGTCGGGACCCAAGTTACGAGCTTCCGAAATCTCATGGGATCTCCGTAAAGTTGATCAATGTGAATGTTATAATGAATTCGATTGGGAAGTCCAATGGCAAAAAGAAGGGGATTCACTAGCTCGTTATTTAGTACGAATGAGTGAAATGAGGGAATCCATAAAAATAATTCAACAGACTCTAGAAGGAATTCCGGGGGGACCCTATGAAAATTTGGAAGTCCGACGCTTTGATAGAACAAAAGATTCCGAATGGAATGATTTTGAATATAGATTCATTAGTAAAAAACCTTCACCCAATTTTGAATTGTCAAAACAAGGTTTGCAGAGAAGGAACAGGTTCCCGTCTTAACTCCATCTGGCTGGTTAAAGAGAGCAGTACTAGAAGACGCCGGGCCCACAGGCCTCAGCAAGCATGTGAGGCGGACCCCGGCAAGAGTGCGATCAGATCGCACCATGGGCCGTCTTTCAGTGAACAAGGCTGGAATATGGTGGAAATAGGGAAGTCGATGCTGTTTGGAGATAGCTCGTAACTGTTGTATGTCTAAGAAAGTCCCTCCATATACTTGTTGAAAGTAAAGTTTCCGTTATTTAGATTTCCTCATTTTGAAAAGCTTCGCCGATATCATGCGTAAGTTCTTTCTATGAGAAGGTTGGTCGTCATGTGATCCATCCTCAGTCCTTTTTCTTCTCTCTCCCCCTCTCCCCTCCCTTTATACCTCCCTCCTTTCCTTCCTCTCTGTATACTCTCCTTTCCTTTATGTCGTTCTACCTTTTTCTCTTCTTTTCCTCCCATTTTACCTCTTCATCTATATTCCTTTCTCTCTTTCTTACACTCTATAACTTCCTCTCGTCTTTCTATTTCTTTCGCTTGCCGGGATGGCTCTCTTCGGAAAGATCATCGTCTAGCTCCTTGTCACCGATGTCCGATCATGGAAGAAGAAGGGACAGCTCCCAAATATACGACAAGATGCTCAATTCTCGTCTAACACGCCTCCTTGAAGACTATGAGCGACGTCGGGATACTTCTTTCGATAGCTTGTCATTGCATCCGCTTGGGGAAGAGAAGCAAGTAATGACAACTCATTCATAACCATTTACCAGCCAGATTCGGCACTCTTCTTGTCATATAAATATAAATAGTAATGATTTTCTTAGGCCTTCAACGTCACATATTTGTAAGAGCGTTAATTGGTCTCACCTGTTTTGTAATTTATTTGAGTTATTTGGATGCTTCTTTCGCGTTAGGCAGACTTTCCGTTTTCTTAAATCTAAAAAGTTATTATTTTTTGGTCCTTTGGTCTCATTAATTAATCTAAAATATAGCTCGTTTTGGAAAAGACTAAGTTATGGCCTCTCTATTATTCGCGGGGTGGAGAGTAGAGACTAGAAGGTCGACTGGACTTGATACTGGACATGTTGCCGAGCTGTGGCGGACACCGTCAGCCTTCTCTCCTCTCCCTATATTTCCTCCATCAACCCATTGCTACCTTCGGTGGACTGGGGGAGAGATTGGGACAGGAGACTGTTGACCCTCTCTCCAATGGCCTGGCTCTTCCCCTTCACCCTTTTCAGACCACGTCAACAAGAGTGGGTAGGCTACAAAAGGGATGATTATCGGCCGCCTCACCCTCTCAATCCCTTCAGTCCATTGACAGAGGAGTCGATCTGATGAAGATATATATATGTTTATATATATATATATATATAGATATATGCGGGAGAGAGAGAGAGAGAGAGAGAGAGAGAGAGAGAGAGAGAGAGAGAGAGGGAGAGAGAGGGAAGGTCTCTTCTTACCTACGTGTCATGAGTAGTCGAGAAAGAGCATGACTTCAAACTTTTTAGTGCTAAATCAAACGTTAAAGTCTAATTAGTTGTTTCGGGGATAAAAAATTATTGATATGATATCCTAAAGAGCGGTTAGAACTCCAGCAAAAAAATAAAAGGGATTATAAAGGATTCATATAGTTCGTGGAAGGTTAAACAAAATAACCTTTTAAGAAAATCCCTTTAGATTCATAAGGAATATAGAAATATGTAAATATTACTAGATTCCTTTCATCTACTGAAAACCAGTTGGCTTTAGCTCGATACTAGATGCAACTGAAGTAAAATTATTATTTTCTCTTTACTTTAGGATTTAGGTAAAGGATTGAGTTTTGGCTTGGGGGAAGGGGGAAAATGGACGAGAGAAGTGAGGAACAAGCCAGTTAAAATGAGCGAGGGCCAGGGTATATCTGGAGTAGGATATGGAAGAGGAAGATAAGGTGCCTAAAGGGAAAGAAGAGGGGTCAAAGGACAGATGAAAATGTGGCGAAGGGGAAAAAAGAGGAATGAATGGGCTGCTCGGATAGAAGAAGAGCTGGAAGATGATGTACTCGACCAGAGGTGAGGGGATAGCTGACGTGGATTGGGAAAGATGGGGATGCAGAAAGAAAACGTGAGACCTGGCTAGGAAAGGGGACTGCTTCGAGGTATTGCATATAGACAAACGCAAATGGTTTGGAAGTGGGGTGGTATATTAGGGAATCAAAACTAGGATCACATGATGGAGGATTTTAGACCACAACTGACCTTTTGCCATGAATTTTCCTTGGCTTATGTCATGATGCTTAGAAGAAAAAGTATATTCATAAATAAAGTATGTGATACCAGTTTTTTGAATTTATGTAGTAGTAGTATATGTAATTTAAAATTAATGTAGAACATTTTTTCAATATTTTTTGATTTAACCTATCATTTTCAGCTTTTTGAATGTTGAAATGTCTAAAAGTATGACTTATCCCTGAAGAAATTCAATTGAAATTTAAAATGACCTATGTAAACCATACAATAGATGGCCCAAGAGATACAAGGGAGAGAAGGTTATGGACTGACTTGATAAGTTGATTAATTGAGTATGACGAAATTAATAAAAGTTAAGAGTTTGTTGGTTCCAAGTAGGCAACCAGAGAAAGTATTTGGGAGAGGGC